TGACATGCAAATGTCAACATATAGTACTCAACAAAATACAGGTGTCCACACACTATGTCAAGCTTTTAATCATGCAGAGTCCGTTTAAGTTAACATTTTTAAATTGGGAGATCAAAAATATTTCATATCCGCTATTTATCTATTTTTACATACATTAAAAGACAACTTATTGAGACTTTTTTGGCCTCTATTTTGGTTATAATATCCTTTTTTTTCTTGGACTGGGTGTATTTAATGTCCATGTTTTTATAATATTCTTTGTCATAACCAATTCAAGAAAAAAAACAACGTTTATGTTAAATTTTTTCGGTGTTCCTAATAAACTCCAAAATAAAAAAAATTACAGAACGTATTAAGGATGATTGCTGCTCAAACTCAAAATAAATAGGATCATTCTTTTTCAGGTTTTTTACATTCAGTATAGATAGATGTTCAAAAAAATGTTAAAAAAAATATGGGTTCATGCGCTTTTTTTTTCGGTATACTCATTTTAAATATACCCATATATGGCATAGTTGTGAAAAGCTAGAGAAACAGGTTTTGTATAAAAAAAGATGCACAATACATTTACAGTGTACAAATATTTTTATTGGTGGCAAAACAAGTAGAATACATATCAGTCTTACATTTTTAAATATTTTTTTCTGTAAAATCAATCAACAAATTGTGTTATCTTAGCAGTTTAGTTAAAATTTGAAAAAGTACGGGAATACACATGATTTCTTGTTATTTTTTAAAAATAAACATCTTTGTAATAAATACATCCCCACAATATCTTCCTCATACATTTGTCCTTAATTTCCAAGAAAAAAAAATATATCATCATGCGCTTTATTTTTAGCTAGACGTTAAAAACAAAAAAAAGTACTGGAAAATGCCTGATGTTTCTCTATTTTCTTAAAAATAACATTTATTTTATAAATACAATTTCACAAAATTTTCAAAAAATCTTACTCATACATATGTCCTTAATTTTCAAGGAAAAAAAATATACCATCATGCGCTTTATTTTCAAATAGACACTGAAAACAAAAAAAAGTATGGAAAAATGCCTGATTTTTCTCTATTTTCTTAAAATAAACTTTTTTATAAATACAATTTCACAAAATTTTCAAAAAATATTGCTCATACATATGTCCTTAATATCCAAGGAAAAAAAAATATATCATATGCTTTATTTTCCAATGGATGCAAAAAACAAAAAAGTACAGAAATGCTTGATTTTTCTCTATTTTCTTAAAATATACCTTTTGATTTAATTACAATTTCAAAAAATTTTCACAAAATGTTTCTTATGCATTTGTTCTAAAATTGGAATAAGAAGAATAGAGCTATTTTTTTTTAAGCTAGAACTAAAATAACACAAAAAGTGAAGAAAAATCTATAATCATTCATGTATTTTCAACTGCATGTTTCTATTTCAAAGTTTGTTACATCAAGCACATGTTATAAATTTATCAGCAAAGGCAACAAAATTTTCTAATTATCTGGAATCACATGCATAAAACAGATTCACAATAGTGCATACAATGACATTTCTCGCCTGTTTAATTAATTCCATACACCTAATAAGAAAAATCTATTGCTTATAGTATCTCAAGATTGGAAATTCATGAAAATTTAACATGATCAATGAATTGTGAAATTGAAGTCAGGGTCAGCTGACAGGTGTCAGACACACATTAATCCTTCAAATGAATGTAGACCATATATCATTGACCTATTATAAAGAATATTGAAAAACAGACCTAATCACAAAATTTTAACCCTTGGACCATGCAAATGAGGTCAGGGTTGGGTGACAGGTGTAAGACTGACAAGTACACATCTGGATGAATCCATAGACTAAGTATTATTGGCCTACCATGTATGGTAACTGAGAAAATAGACTTTATCACAAAAACTTAACTTTGTCACTCCATAAAATTTAGGACATGGTCATACAGATGTCAGACTGACATGTTCACCTCCAAATGATTCCATAGATCAAATAGCATTGACCTACCATGTAAAGTTAATAATAAACAGAACTTATCACAATAACTTAATCTGGTCTCCATCCAAGTCCCAATTTCTATAAGTAAACCATTATAGGTGAAAGTACGGTCTTCAACAAGGAGCCTTGGCTCACACCAAACAGCATGGTCTGATTTAATCAATATACTTGTATGAAAAGCATAAGCACTTTAAAGGTAAATTAATAATAAATTGATCCAATATAATTGCACAAGATTCAATAACAATGCACGGATCACAACATAATAATAAGGGTAAACTGGGTATGGAGAAAATATCAGATATTTCAAGTAAATATTCATGCCATAACGAATAAAAAATTGTAAACTTAAAGTTTTGCTAAAATTGCAAAAACAGATCGTTCTGTATTGGTATAGTTTTAAGATCTTTCATTTGCATATTTAAGGCGATAAAAAGTTTGGGCTTCAAAAGTACACATAATTATTGACTTTATATAGAAAATTTGTCCATATAATGTTCCACAAATAATACATGATTTCAAAGTAAAATCATTTCTTATTACTGCGGAAAATTTCATTCTGATTGATATAGTGGTATTGTAATAAAGTGATTTTATTGAACAGTGGTATAGCAAACATTGAATTCCCTTACAAAATGTTATCATACAGTATAAACATGTGAAAAAATATTACACAAAAAAGTTCCTCTTTACATTTTTTCAAAAAAATCTGATACACTTGAAATAATCTTAGCTGATTTTGTAACTCTTACAGATAATCCACACTTTTTCTGTGAAAATATATTTGATTCCAGATCTACCATTTCTTGTAAAAGCTAACTTTAAATGATAAAAATTCAGCCCACTCTTAGCTATGACAGTGGCTGTTCTCAAGGTAATGACTTTAGAATTAATAAGTAATTTCAATGATGGAAGATTTTGATGTAGTTTTTTCAAACAAGAATATTGATACAAAATACAATTTTTTGAATAAAAAGCAGTTTTCATTTGACATGTATTATTAATTTTTTCATTGACAAGCTTTTGCAATGCAGTAACATCTTCCTCAGCATTGTGAGCACCATATGTAAAATCAAGAAGTGTTTGACATAATTTAGACTGAGAATATGAATTCAGACCTGGATATACATTTTTAAACAATTTCAAAGTATCAACAAAACCTAAAATATTGCTTTCAAATCTAGAAAGCAAATTACAATTATCTAACGCATTGTACAACACAGGACAGTCATAATTAAAAATATTGTGTCCAAATATAACATTTTTTTCAGATTTTTCTAAAAACTGGATAAATTTAATAAGACCTGCTTTTATATTTACTGCTGGTACAATATTATTATGAAAAAATAAAGAACCGTTTTGAAATGTTAATCCTGTTATTTCTGCTGCCTTTGAGGATATTTCACATGATGGTAACACATATGTAGAACACATTTCCTCTCCTCTCAACGCTGATATCTGTGTAATGTGTGATGTTCGACCTGTAAAAAATTAAAGAATAAATTTTAACAATTAAGATGATTGATTTCCTGTCTTTAAATAAGTGAAAAACAATTAAATCAGTGAGTTAAATGCTTATATCTGATAACCCTGCTCCCAACCTTTAATATTGTAGAACATGACCTGGCACTGTATATAAAAAACTCTGTGGTTTACAGGAAGTACATATCAAACGAACCTGAAATCGTATTTATATGTTTCATAATGAGTAAGCTGAATATTAACTTAATTTCAAAATAATAACAAAAGAACCTAAGGTAAATTTTTATTACTTTCAAATTAAATAAAGAGCAAATATTTGTTACCGTAGCAACTGTCTTGTATAATAAAATATATATCTGTATTTTACAAAGAGTAAAATATAATTTCTTTGTTTTTTAGTCCTAACTTCACATTTTTGTAGTTTTCCAGATGGTAAATCTTAAAAAGTATATGATGCAAAAAAAGCAAACTCGCAACAAATGATGGATACAATGTGATGGCTAAAAACTTACTGAGACCTGTAGCTTCAATATCAAAATATATTTGAGTATATTCTGTTGCATCTTCCAAGCACATGGCATTATTTTCAGGTTTTGATGATGGAGGTGGTATTTCATTTATATCGTCTTCCTTCAAATCACAAAGGGCTGCATCTGATTTATAAGTTGTACCTTCTCTTAACTCACATGCAGATGTTTTCTGATTCCTGAAATTCAAAGAAAAACTTATGGTTAATTTCAAAATATGAATTTACGTTGCTTGATGCTCTTCTGGTTTATGTACTGAATGATTGTGTCATACGGGCTACTTGAGCTTGTTGTTAGATGTTGGATTACATTATATTGAAGTCAGTGTTCTCCTTTTTTCACTAAGGTAAGATGGGTGTTTTTGAAAAAAACTCTTGCAATTTGAAGACCTAGTGTGACTCATCATTAAACATGGTAGCTAAACGTCTTTGATATATTTTCATAGTAGTTTGTTACACTGCTATTCGACTTTTCTTCGATAAGAGAGTTATTAATAAATAAGTTGTAAGACAGGTCACAATTTTATTAATTTGTTGAGCCTGAAACGCAAGTCCATATCAACATGAATTTTGATGTATATGGACAATTGGTGGAGCTCAACATTCTAAACCATTTTGCTCAGTCAGATTTTCTCTATTCATAATGGTTTTCAAAAAAATAGACAAAACTTGCACTTTTATCTTATGTTCTATTTTTAGCCCTGGGGGCAGTGTTTGTTAGCAGGCAGTTAGTAAGCGGGGTCAACCGACACACTTTTTTAAAACAAAATATCCAATAATGATTGTGGCTAAGTTTGGTTAAATTTGGTCCAGTAGTTTCAGGCCAGAAGATTTTTGTAAAAGTTGATGGACACATAGTGATGAGAAAAACTCACTTAGCTCAATGGGCCAGGTGAGCTAAAAAAAAAACAACAATAGGCAGTCTGCTGAAGAAAGTTAAGGCTTAATTATGAACTACTAAAGAAGATTACAGGAATCAATGTTATTTACCTGCTTGTTTTTAAAGCAATTCTGCGTAGTTTTGCAGCTTTGGTAGTGGCAACAGCTCTCCTCTTTCTAGCCTGAAGATCTCTGAGGGTAGCTAACTTCTGGGTATATATCCCAGGAGATAGACCTGTTGATACATTTACCTGCAATGAAAATGATATTAAAGAAATAAGAACAAAAGTAATTTTGATTCTCAAAACAATGCAGGTTTTACATTTGATTCCAGAAGATGACAAAATTACTAGAAACAAAGTTGCTTCACTAAACATGCACACTTATATACTGTATGTCTCTAAAAAAAGAAATGAGACTGTTAATTATAAAATAGACAGATGGCGATAAATTATGTTTTCTCTATTTTAATTATTTGGCATTATCATAAATTTATGGACATACTGTCATTCAATAGGGCTGTTCAAGAATTAAACACATGGGTGTGTGTGTGGTTGGGAACTTGGGGGTATAAGGGGGCACTTTATTAAGACCCCCACAACCATGACATATTTTTTTAATTTCACATACAATTCTTACATAATTGTTAGGAAAACACAGCATACCAAAACTAATTGTTTTGAGTGCAGCCTTTACCCTCCCCTACAAGTTAAAATTTAGAACAGCCCTATTTTGGATTATTATTATTTAAAAAAATAAATGTGGATAGTGTCCACATGTGGACACAGATGATGCCCCCGCTTGCATAGCATATAGTTATAAAGGGACATAACTGAAGAACGGTAAAAGTGACACTACCCAAATTTGAACTTGATCTGAGTTTTGTGGTAATAAGCATTGTGTGTAAGTCTCAAAACATTAGGTTGCGGCTAACTTAAGTAGAGAACAGAAACTAAAAATTCAGCAATTTTTATGTTTATAAAGGGACATAACTCAAGAATGGTAAAAGTGTTCTCACCAAATTCCGTACTTAATCTGTATTATGTAGTAATAAGCATTGTGTATAAGTTTCATAACATTTGGTTGAGGTAAACTAAAGTTAACAAACGGAAACAAAAAATTTGTACTTAGTTTTGTGGTAATGAATATTGTATATAGGTTTCACAATGTTTGGTTGGGGCAAACTTAAGTTACAGAATAGAAACTAAAAATTTTGCAATCTTTCGATTTATAAAGGGACATAACTCAATAATGGTTAAAGTGACACTACCCAAATTCAACTTGATCTGTGTTTTATCAGTGGAAGTCAAAATTAAACATTGCATTGTATAAAGCATTGATTGTAGTTGATTCAACTATAATCATTGACAAAGGAAGATAACTCCAATTTTAAAAATTACTTGATATTTAGAAGAAAATAAAAATTTTGCAATTTTTCCATTTATAAAGGGGCATAACTCTAGAACCGTTAATGTGAAGCCACAAAAATTCAAATTTGATCTGTGTTTTCTGGTAATAAGCATTGTGTATAAGTTTCATAACATTTGGTTGAGGCAAACTTAAGTAAGAGAACGGAAACTAAAAATTTTGCAATTTTTTTATAAAGGGGCATAACTCTAGAACGGTTATAGTGATGCCACCAAAATTCAAACTTGATCTGTGTTTTGTGGTAATTAGCATTGTGTATAAGTTTCATAACATTTGGTTGAGGCAGACTCAAGTAAGAGAACGGAAACCAATTTTGGGATGTACGTACGTACGTACAGACGGACAAGGGTAAAACTTAATGCTCCCTCCGCTACGGCGGGGGCATAAAAATTAACTAAAATAGGTGAGACGGTATCCAACAGTTCATGCAAAATTAAACTTTCCCTCAAAAAGGGATTATATGTGTATAAAATACAACACCATAAAATTTGGTCTCTAAAATTTGTAACAATGTAATAGTATAACAAATTACTGAAAACATGTAACCTATGAATCATAAAACTGAACAGGCAGGCTGATAACCCATTTGTACATTTAAATTTTTTTTTACTCTCAAAACAAAATTCATAAAATACTAGCATGACTAGTTATCTATCCCTTGAAAACTTGTTCTGAGAACTTCTGACAAGTAAATAACAAAGTTTTAAACCCATGAATAAAAAAATATTTATTTGTACAAGTGGGATCTGACTGACAGGCAACACACTTTCTTACATCTACAGTGTATTGATTACCCTTGTTTTTCTGTGCTACGGCAGCAGCAATACGGTAGCCTAAACTTCCAGAACCACCATAAAACCTATTCTTTGGTGCTTTAGAGGCAACACTTTTGTTAAAGCTCTCATTGCTTTGGGTGCTTCCTAGATTAGCAAGATTTTCTGGATTTTTTCTGTATTTCTCTAATAAAGTTGTAAGTGAAGTTTGAAAAGATTTGTCATGTAAAGGTTTCCCATAGGGCAATGACGTATATTTCAGACCAGACTCCTCAATAAACCTACACCAACTGATGTTGCAACCGCTGTGGTCTCCGAAGGGATGCTTTGACAGTGCATCTAAATTTTGTTTAATTTCTTCTGGTTTGCCTTTGCCTTTAGCTATTAAGTAGTTGAAGCATTTAATGAGGTAGTTGATAACTTTTTGAGAGCGACAGGAATGTTTTTTTCTTAAATCATATAAACTGGAACTGAAAGGTTTTTTAATGTGGTTGCTGTCTGAGAGTTTCTTTATTCTTGGATCAACTTTAGCCCTAAGTCTTGCAATGGTGGTGGTATCTTCGTCTCCAATTATGGCTGTGATTTTTGCCCCCTTTTCTATAGTGTCTGTAACCATTTCCTCTACCATGTCTGGTTCCATGGCCTTTGCACTCCCAGTAAAGTTTTTTCTGCATGTATGCTTTCTTACTATCTTACCTTCATTTTCAGCTTTCTGGCATATTCTACAGGACTTTGACCTCCACTTGTAACCCAAAATCTTCCCGGTTTTTGAACCTATCATGGAGCAATGTCCTGTTAAATAAAATAAGAATTTCTCTATGAACACAGATGCATCAGCTGGTGAAACAGAAAAGAAACATAACTTAAGAAGGTGAAAGTGATACCACTGAAATGCAAACTTGTCTGAGATGCCTGATTTTTTTTATTAGTTGTTGTTGGCTTTGAACTAGCTGTCAGTAACTGTGAGTTCTTTCAAATCAGTACTTGGTGTCTTTTTGTTGTTGGGATATACAAGTACCCGGCCACGTCCACTCTATGTTTTTGTTAGATATATTTCTATGTATACAACTGATGAAAATAAGCCTTTTCAACTGATTTTTATAGTTCGTTCTCATGTTGTACTGTTATATCACTGACCCAGGTTAGGTGGAAGGTTGGTAACCGTTAACATGTTTATCCCTGGCCTGCCACATTCTGTATGTACTATGTGCCTGACCCAATTCAGGAGCCTGTAATTCTGTGGTTGTCGTTTGTTAATGTGTTACATATATTTGTTTTCTCATTTAAATTGTTTAACATTTGTCATTTTGGAGCCTTTTATAGCTGACTATGCGGTATGGGCTTTGCTCATTGTTGTAGGCCGTACACAGTACAGGGACCTATAGTTTTTAATTTCTGTGTCATTTGGTCTCTTGTGGGTCTCGTTGGCAATCATACTGCATCTTCTTTATTATATTGATCTGTGGTTAGTTGTAATAAACATTGTATTAAAATTTGAAACTAGAGGCTCTCAAGAGCCTGTGTCACTCACCTGACTCTACTTTGGTTTTAGAAATCATGTAAAGATAGATAAAAATCATAACAGATACCCAAATAATGATTGAGGCCAAATTTTGATTAATATTGGTCCCGTTATTCAATAAAATATCCTGGTGGCCATCTTGAACAGTAAATCGGCAACAAAGTAGCAACACTTGGTCAGCACCTCATAAGGAACATTCATGCCATGTTTGGTTTTATTCCATTCAGTGGTACTCTAAAAGAAGACATTTGTATGTATTTCCCATAGGGTCCTATGTTAAACTAAGTCCCCCGCTGGCGACCATCTTGGATGATGAATCGGCTACAAAGGTACAACACTTGGTCAGCACCTCATAAGGAACATTCATGCCATGTTTGGTTTCATTCCATTCAGTGGTTCTCTAAAAGAAGACATTTGTATGTATTTCCTGTAGGGTCCTATGCTAAACTAAGTCCCCCGTTGGCGGCCATCTTGGATGATGGACCGACTGCAAAGTAACAACACTTGGTCAGCATCACATAAGGAACATTCATTCCATGTTTGGTTCCATTCCATTTATTGGTTCTCTTAAAGAAGACATTTTTATGTATTTCCCGTAGGGTCCTATGTTAAACTAAGTCCCCCGCTGGCGGCCATCTTGGATGATGGATCGGCTACAAAGTAACAACACTTGGTCAGCACCTCATAAGGAACATTCATGCCATGTTTGGTTTCATTCCATTCAGTGGTTCTCTAAAAGAAGACATTTGTATGTATTTCCCGTAGGGTCCTATGTTAGACTAAGTCCCCCGTTGGCGGCCATCTTGGATGATGGACCGACTGCAAAGTAACAACACTTGGTCAACACCTCATAAGGAACATATATGCCATGTTTGGTTCCATTCCATTCAGGGGTTCTGTTAAAGAAGTCATTTGTATGCATTTCCCATAGGGTCCTATGTTAAACTAAGTCCCCAAATGGCGGCCATCTTGGATAATGGATCAGCTACAAAGTAACAACACTTGGTCAACACCTCATAAGGAACATTCATGCCATGTTTGGTTTCATTCCATTCAGTGGTTCTCTAGAAGAAGTTCAAAATGTAAAAAGTTAACGACGACGGACGACGGACGCCAAGTGACGAGAAAAGTACACTTGGCCCTTTGGGCCAGGTGAGCTAAAAAGTTCAAACTCAATTGTTAACTAAATATGGGACAGACCAACATAAAGGCAGACGGTCATGGGTAACACCTAATGCCACATATGTGTGTCTTATGCTCAAATAATTTTGCTTTTAGCAATAATATTAGCAGGCAGAAAGAATTGGAAACATTACTTTTTTATCATTACTGATCACATTATACATATTATACACCTACAACTAGCATAGTTGGAAAGAAATATTCATAACACTATCAAATTTGCAGTAGATTACTACTACATGTAATTATACAATTATAGTATTATACTCTGTCCCACCAGGTCAAATACATACAGAAGTAATACTTACACATTTGTACATGTATATTGTATCCAGGAAAAACTTAAATATCTGTATTTGTTTTGGTTAATATTAAATTACCAGTCAGACTGTTGTATGCTCTACCACTTCCTCTTGTTTGCCAGCCAGCATCAACTGAGACAGTCAGGTCGTCTGTTCCATCCCATCTGAAGTAGAAAATACATGTTTAACACATGTACAAAAGTAAAGAAATCATGAAAGTTGGTACAATTAATAAAGAGTAGGGATACATGATATTTAAGAATAGTCAGCATGTAAACATTCTTAAGTAACTGTAAACCAACATATTTTTGCCAGCTATTTATTTTCTTGGCATTTATAGTGGATAGAAAAATAATGCAAATAAAACATGATCAATCATCACGAATATGTTAAACTTGGGTCTATCCTTATCAAACTATATTAAGTAAATTAGAAAATCATGAAATTAAACAGCCGCTAAGTGGACTACAAGGGGTAAAATGAGAAATAAAGTATCAGGAAAAATAAGTTGGTTTACACTTTGTTACTTAAGTTTGATATTGAAATTGAAATAAATTTAAAAGATTGTATTGATTTTTTAACAGATTTTTTCAGAATAAAAGCTATTGTTTTTGAAGTTTACTATAACCTGGACAAGCACAAATGGAGAGACTGAGATAAAGTCAGTATCAAAAACTAAAGATATCAGTCCTTCGTATAACTCCAAAATTGTACTTGCCTGATTTTTTTAGTGATACAACAAGTACAATGATATGAAGAGTGAATAAAATTTATGTTCGTAAAAAATCATTCTTTTTTAAAACATTAAACTTGTCATTTCTTACTCGTTAGTTAAAGCAATTTCTTTTGTCATCCACTCTTTAATAGACTCCTCTGCAACATTCTCAATCACCCCTCCAATTTCTTTTTGTCGCTCATCCAACATGGAATGGCTAACCGTTGGAATATTGAGCTCTGCTAAAATTCCATTCACTTGCTGCTCCCCAAGTCCTACATGAATCATAGCTAAAAAAAATAACATAAAATAATTAATTGATTATTATTCAATTTGGATGTAATTTCATATTTGATTGGTCCCATAGGCGGATCCAGGGGGGGGGGCTGGTGGGCCCGGGCCCCCCCCCCCCCTTTCGTGGGAAAAATTTGGTTGATTATATAGGGAATCACTGAAGCATTCTTGAGTTATTGTTCGAAAACTGGAAAATCCCCCCTTTTTTAATGAAAAAAAACCCAAAACTCAGAAACGGTAAATCTGAAATTTATAAAAAACGAAAGGGAGCTCACGTCAATAGATTTAAACAATTCACCAAAGTTTCATGCATATTGGTTAAAGCTTTTTTGAGTTAATGTCCGACATGTTGACGACGGACGAACAGACAGACGGACGGTCAACGGTATACCATAATACGTCCCGTAAATGGGCGTATAAAAAGTAAAACTTGTGTTATCTAATAGAACTTGATGTATACTGTTACCATTCTACTTTTGCAATTCTATTGTTTACAATGTATGTATGGTATGTAATAAAGTCTATCAAATTACTATGAATAATATTTTTTCAAATCTACTATCGGACGCTAAAAGGTAACCGCAAGGTCTTCATATCCATTAATAATGACTGCATGACCTCTAAGAACAGCAGAGTAATAACTTCTAGTACCTTTTTCCTTAATATTTACGATTTTATTTCTCGTGCTTCGTTTTTCCTGATTTTTATTTTCCATGCAACGTTTTTGCGATTTTTATTTCATGTGTTTCCCTGTTCAGACCCCCTTTACCACCCTCATATCAGTAATTCAATGTTTACTTATTTTGATATATATCATGTATATCTGTATATATAATATGATTAATATTGATTAATTTTTTTCAAATGTTGTACCAAGTGTTAGAGATATTTTGTATGATGATATATAATTTCACTTCTGTACTACAATGTAGTAGTAGTACTCTGAATTACAAATTTATTATCTGCAATATGGATGGTAAATATACCCCAAACCCCCATTTTATTTAATGACACTGATACATACATGTATTACCTGACTTGTAAATATGATATTACCAAGCTATCAAGGTATTTTATTTTGTACACAAATATTGCAGGGGTAAAGGGTGTTATATGAGGGTGGTAAAGGGGGTGCTTGCATGGAAAAAAAACATAAAATAATTTCTGTTATGAACGTTTCTTGAAAAATAAAGATGTGAACATTTTGTGACTGAGTCACTGTCCTCTTGTACATGTATATACATAAACTCTCGGTTTTACTTAATATTCATGGTTCACGGTTTAAACAAGTATATACTGATCTTCTTTAGACTAAACTTTTAAAATGCAAATAAAGGAACAACATCATATATAGGGTTTTACTCTTTATCAAAAAACCAAATTCAATAAATTTTTTTCTTGACGATCCCTGCCTAGTGTTAGAAATTTATTTGAAAAATATATACCAAGCACGCAAATTAAGCATTTGAAAATCATGATGCACATCAAATTAAATTCGCAGAACACGTTGAATGAGGCACCTGTTTCACAGGACTGAACGTGAAATAAAAAACGGCGATCACGTTGCACGAAAATAAACCTTTACCACCCTCTTATATATACCCCTTTGTTTTTGTACATGTTAACTACAACAAAATGTTTACCTGCTGCTAATTTGGAGTTGACATCCCATACTTTTCCATGTCTTTTTCCTGTGGGGATTAGGTTGGTGTTGAGACAGGCTGTGTTGGCACACACTATCTTCAAAATGGCAGCTAGACCGTAAGAGTTTATGGTACTGCAGTTTTGCAAAGAAAGGGGAAGACCACATTTCTTGCAAGCTGCTAAACCATCCGCCAAAACTCCCAATTCTACAACCCTACGACCTGCTCTCCATTCTGAAAAATCTGATGTTACGTTACTACCGTCAATTTCAATTATCTCTTCATTAATACAGTTTGATATATCCGGATAAGTCCGCTTAAAAACAGCAGCGTATTGGTGGTCCTCAACAAATAAAGTGTCAAATTTTGATGTCTCCCTGTCCCATCGTCTTCTTTGAGCTTCAGAAACTGCCTCCGATTTTCGTTTCTGTTTTGCAGATTTAAAACCCGGCGTACGCTTAGCCATTACTGATTATAATATGTATATAAGAAGTAAAACGTATAAAGATGTATAAAAGCGATCTAAAAGGTTAAAATTGTGTATAAACAGATTTTCACTGTAAACATCTGCAGCCGACAACCTTTGTTTACAATCAACCGGAAATGGAAATCGTGTATTTTTTATGTAAGCAATTTCTTATCGCGGAAATTCTTCTGCTTAAATAATTTTTTTATCGATGAATAACAATGAATACATATTTAATAAAAATCATTGGACATATTTATTTGTTTTTTTATTACGACTTCATCCCATTTACGGTGCGCCAACTTTGCCAAAAACATCACCAGCGAACATTTTGGTGTTTAAAGAGGAAAACTATTTGATTGCATTTAGGATGTTCGCAATATTACATCGATATCCCGCATATTGGGTTAAGTATCCCACAAAATATTACGTGGCTTGTGTTTCCTATTATGATTTCAATTATTAAGGGTTGTTGCATACAAGATAATACTGATCGAATGGTGTTTATTGTAATGTTAACGCCATCATGATTTGGTTGACTTTTGTAGAATATTTGTGTTACAGATGATCACGAATATGTTAAATGTCCTACATTTACAATTCATGCCTCATTTAATTGTTTATGCCCCAACCAAAAATATCTTTTCTCAGATATTTTTATGTCACAATGCGCACGCAGGATGCCACAAAATTGAGCATGAATTGCCAATCCTTTAATATGTTTTGTTCATATCCACAGATTATACCAATCATCTGCTATTGTTTGCAAATGTTAAGAGATTTAAATTGTATTAAACATTTAATAAGGTGCAAAATAAAGATTAAATTATGTGCTTTTAAATTTTGTTTGTCGAACTACTCAATAGGAGAGGATGTATATAACAGTTTCAAATTTGAACATTATAGATGCATTTACGCATATTTTTGGTTTTATTTCTTATACATATATTTTGGTGTTCAAAGAGGAAAACTATTTGATTGCATTTAGGATGTTCGCTTATTTTGGTGTATTATTTATTTCCGATATTCGGAATCTTTAGGTTTTATCTATATGGTGCCATTAAAAATTTGCCCGCTAACCCCTATTTTTATTTTTATAATTCAATTACATTTGTGTAGTTTTAAAAGCCATTTTGTATTTAAATCTTATAAAATCCTTGTTATGTTTTCGTTGTTTTAGAATGAAGAAATATGCCAATGTTAGATGTATGAAAATTCTAGAGGGAATTATTTCCCGCCAAATTTGTAATGGCTTATATCTCAAAAAACATTGCATTGTTTTCTAATTTTGTAGTTGTGTTCTAAATAAACTATCAATTTATAACAGTCTTTAAAAATGATATCATTTTTACCGTCAGGAATGAAATTTGTGGTTTGAATGAGGAATGCTACTTTGACGATACTTAATTTTCTAGTTTCATAAATTTTCCTATCAACGTAAGAAGTCATTTGTATGTCGTTTAATATGTAAATTCGTTATATTCCTCTACCTACGATATCCATGAAAATTGGTATTCTCAAATGATTGGTCAATCAATATCGTACACATTATCAGGTATTTTTTCAAACAATTCATGTCTTGTCCGAGCTTTTTTTACTACCATAGTTTATTCAGATTGTACATTACTTTTGGAAAATGTTAAAAATTTTAATTTACAGTAAGATGAGTTTAGAAAAAATATATTAAATTACATTAGATCTAATTACCCTTTTATATTTTGTTAATTTCACTTGAAGTAATTCCTCCCTGTGTAATCTTTTACATTACAAATGTCATCAAATGTCAGTCATTTTTCTCGCTTAGATAACACGAAATAATTAATTAGAAACTTATAAATATAGCAGTTTTCTACTAGCGCTAACCAATTTATAAAATATAGTTTTATACTTGATAGAGAATAGTAAATGCCATGGTACTAAAGTTTAAGGCCAATGATCACTTCTGTAGTCCTGTGTATTTTCAAAATGCAATAATATCATAGCAGCCAAGATACTGAGTTGAAGGTAAAATAACAAAAATACCGAACTCCAATGAAAACTCAAAACGGAAGATCCCTTATCAAATGGAAAAATTAAAAGCTCAAACAGATCAAACGAATGGAAAACAACTGTCATATTCCTGACTTGGTACAGGCATTTCCTTATGAAGAAAATGGTGGATTAACCCTAGTTGTATAGTTAGCTATACATCTCACTTTTATGGCAGTCATATAGACTTCCAAAAGAATAAAATATAGAATAAAAAGGGACAATTCTTAATTGCATTTGATAGCAAATGAGGATTTTATGGCTAATCGTGTCAAGATTTTTACAGAAACCACATACTTTATTAAAGAGACTTTCGTTATAACATTCTAAACATATATTAATCACTTGTTTATAATACATATATATTATATGTTCTCTTTCCATGTTCAGCCCATAAAACTAAATTCTTCTGCATGCAAATGTTAATCCGCACATCAAAGTGTTTGAAAGTGTGACACTGACCTACCAACATAATGATGAACGTTGTTTATCTCTGTTTTTAATTGAATCTTCCTTATGTATACAACGGTAAAGGTAACAGGATACTCGCAATACTTTTTGTGTTGTTTTATCTTATTTGACTACCTTAAGTATTTTGTAAAGTGACAGTCAATTCAAAATAACATGTTACCACAAAGAAATGACTTACATGTATATGTTACCATTTACATTCAAGTGAAGGTCAATTTAATACTAAACTTTACTACAAAGGGATGACTTTCATTTTACCAATTACATTCATGTTTATCAATATTACATCGATATCCAGCATATTAGGTTAAGTATCCCACTAAATATTACGTGGCTTGTGTTTCCTATTATTATTTCAATTATTAAGGGTTGTTGCATACAAGATAATACTGATCGAATGGTGTTTATTGTAATGTTAACGCCATCATGATTTGGTTGACTTTTGTAGAATATTTGTGTTACAGATGATCACGAATATGTTAAATGTCCTACATTTACAATTCATGCCTCATTTAATTGTTTATGCCCCAACCAAAAATATCTTTTCTCAGATATTTTTATGTCACAATGCGCACGCAGGATACCACAAAATTGAGCTTGAATTGCCAATCCTTTAATATGTTTTGTTCATATCCACGGATTATACCAATCATCTGCTATTGTTTGCAAATGTTAAGAGTTTTAAATTGTAGTAAACATTTAATAAGGTGCAAAATAAAGATTAAATTATATCCCTTAAATTTTGTTAGTCGAACTACTCAATAGGAGAGGATGTATATAACAGTTTCAAATTTGAACATTATAGATGCATTTACGCATATTTTTTGTTTTATTTCTTATTTATATTTTGGTGTTCTAAGAGGGAAACTATTTGATTGCATTTAGGAAGTTCGCTTATTTTGGTGTATTATTTATGTCCGATATTCGGAATCTTTAGGTTTTATCTATATGGTGCCATTAAGAATTTGCCCGCTAACCCCTATTTTTATTTTTATAATTCAGTTACATTTGTGTAGCTTTAAAAGCCATTTTGTATTTAAATCTTATGAAATCCTTGTTATGTTTTCCTTGTTTTAGAATGAAGAAATTTGCCAATGTTAGATGTATGAAAATTCTTGAGGGAATTATTTCCCGCCAAATTTGCAATGGCTTATATCTCAAAAAACATTGCATTGTTTTCTAATTTTGTAGTTGTGTTCTAAATAAACTATCAATTTATAACAGTCTTTAAAAATGATATCATTTTTACCGTCAGGAATGAAATTTGTGGTTTGAATGAGGAATGCTACTTTGATGATACCTAATTTTCTGGTTTCATAAATTTTCCTATCAACGTAAGAAGTCATTTGTATTTCGTTTAATATGTAAATTCGTTATATTCCTCTACCTACGATATCCATGAAAATTGATTGATCAATCAATATCGTACACATTATCAGGTATTTTTTCAAACAATTCATGTCTTGTCTGTGCTATTTTTAACTACAATAGTTTATTCAGATCGTACATTACTTTTGGAAAATGTTAAAAATTTTAATTTACAGTAAGATGAGTTTAGAAAATATATATTAAATCATATTATATCTAATTACCCTTTTATATTTTGTTAATTTCACTTGAAGTAATTCCTCCCTGTGTTATCTTTCACATTACAAATGTCATCAAATGTCAGTCATTTTTCTCGCTAAGATAACATGAAATAATTAATTAGAAACTTATAAATATAGCAGTTTTCATCTAGCGTTAACCAATTTATAAAAATATAGTTTTACACTTGATAGAGAATAGTAAATACCATGGTACTGAAGTTTAAGGCCAATGATCACTTCTGTAGTCCTGTGTATTTTCAAAATGCAATAATATCATAGCAGCCAAGATACTGAGTTAAAAGTAAAATAACAAAAATACCGAACTCCAATGAAAATTCAAAACGGAAAGCCTTATCAAATGGCAAAATTAAAAGCCCAAACATATCAAATAAATGGAAAACAACTGTCATATTCCTGACTTGGTACAGGCATTTCCTTATGAAGAAAATGGTGGATTAACCCTAGTTGTATAGTTAGCTATACATCTCACTTTTATGGCAGTCATATAGACTTCCAAAAGAATAAAATATAGAATAAAAAGGGACAATTCTTAATTGCATTTGATAGCAAATGAGGATTTTATGGCTAATCGTGTCAAGATTTTTACAGAAACCACATACTTTATTAAAGAGACTTTCGTTATAACATTCTAAACATATATTAATCACTTGTTTATAATACATATATTATTTGTTCTTTTTCCATGTTCAACCCAGAAAACTAAATTCTTCTGCATGCAAATGTTAATCCGCACATCAAA